ATGTAATGGTAGTTGATACGATACAGTGTGTTGGTGTAGTCGATGGTGTGACTTCCACGTAAGATCTTATAGATTAGGCAGTTATATCATGACAAATCTACAATTTTAGGATTAGGTCTATCATTAGAGCAGTACTAATATCATAGTAGACCATAATTCTACAAATCAACATGGAAAGCAATGTGTCAGGATAAATACAGGTTCACCAACCTACTATCCTTATTACTGAAGAGTGAAGTGGAAAAACGTCAGGAGATGCAGACCCATGACCAATGATTGGTCCATACGCCATTTGCTCTCTTAGGATCTTGGAGTCCATGTGCACCATTGGCTTGGAATAAAGGTTTTCCAAATCACTCAGGTGCATCATCAATATCCACCAACGTGGTTAAAGCACCGGAAATTCACTCTCCTTCCTCTCAATTTCGTAAACAACAATCTCAACATGAGAAGGCAGTGAGTAGGACTTCCCTGGAAGAGTCTATATACGCGTGGCCATGTGTGAGCATTTCGAGAGAGAGAGCTGACTCTCTCCACATTGACCGTACCAGGGCATTTAGGGGTTTTAGTGACTGTGACAATTCACATGGTATTACGTCCAGTTCGATCTCTTTTGCTTTTGTTGCTCACTATTCATTACGGTCGTTCCTTAGACTTTTGGTTAGGTTACATCTAGTTTGTTTTCGCTGTTCATTGTGTTCGCAGCATCGTCGGATAAATTTACGAGAGTCTAACAGTGCAGTAAGTATTGCAGAAATCCGCTGGTTTTTCGTGACTCTATGGTTCAAATCACCATTAGATGTAGCTACCTTTTCCGCGGTTGTTCGTACATCCTTCTAAGTAACGACTGCAGCAGCCTCGTTTTTAAAATTGCATAAGCTCCACTTCAAAGAATTTACATGAGCCTTTCCTACCTCCAGTGAAGAGTAAGCAAATATATGCTCTTATTAGGGAATGATAACAGTCTAAACATGTATTCCAGAACGGGATGCAGTATTTTATCGAGTCTCTTTAACTGTGTCTGGTGGCATATCGTCTATTTGAGTCCATCGCTAATTTAGTGCAGTGAGTCGCCATGTTAGGCGATGTCTCTCCATATATTTCAAAATAGCGCTTGGTTTAAATAAACGATTGTCTCAGCAAACTTGCAGTAGGCGGTCACCATTACCTGTTTGCTGAGTCGGAATCCTGAAACACCCACCCAAATATCTTTCTTCCCTGCCTACTTGGGTATTGATTTCGCCTTCTACTAGTGTTTAGTTTTGTGAATAAGTTTGAAAAGCACCTATCAAACTCATTTTTCTCTTCATCCGAGATGCAGCGAGTGGTAGCATAGGAAGAAATAACAGAAAGGCATCAAATTGTGTCTCTATTTTTACGTGTCGGTTCAGTCGAGCAGCATATAGACGATTGTTAACAGAAATCTATTCTAATAATGCTTGTTCTGTTCTCGTTCTGGCAAACACAAAGCCAACGATTCTAATGTGATGGTCTACTGAATGCTCGAAACTTCAAGTTCTGAGGGTTCAATCGAAAGACCACACAGTTTTAAAATAAACACCTAAATACATTATATCTTTGCCGATAATTTAGCCAAATTTCTCGAAGTAACGAGACCAGACTACTGTGAAAATACCACTCCACATCTAACAGTTCATCGAATCATTACAAATAGTCAATTAGCTTCGGGACGTCTACGTCGATTATTGCCAGACGAAATTGTCATTTCAAAAACCAAATATGGACACGTGATGCGATTTGGAATAACACATTCATCGAGCATTCTCTGTACAGCTTCGGTTAACATAGTACCTACGAGGAGTCCGGATTTTTGACTTCGTGGTGAATAACTTTACCTGATCGTTACCCGAAACCTAATTGCAAAATTTGTTGCTTGCGTTTCATCCAAAATAATGTTTTTCTAAAATCGACCTTATGCGAGTATACCACAAGACTGCATTAGTGTCTAATGGATACACTTAGTAATATACCGTCTCTGGGTCAGACGGAGTAATCTGTGACTGATTTGTGATACGTTATTTTTAGTCGGTTATTTGAAACAGCCTCTGTTCTGTAGTATGACGCGTTAAAGTTCAGAATAACATAGAGCGGGTGCATTGTGATGTCAGCGACTCGGGAAAACGAAAAACCGAACATTCCATTTGCTAGAGATTTTGTTGATCATCCATCCACAAAGACGTTTTGAAAGAATGATTTGAAGAATTTTGAAAAAGTTATAAAACTTGCTACACGACCCGTACATTGTTAACCCCAACGGTAACTGCTGGGCCATATATGCGAGTTGGTATATATATTGTGGGACCATTTCGCCAAGTCAAAACCAATCTACTGTATGCCAACAAACACCAAAATAATATGTACGACAGACGTGAAGATCGTGTTTTGCTGCAAGGCACTTTCAGCAAGTTCCACTATTCTTGGTAAGATTCCTACGAAACTGTGTTTATCCGATCTCCTTTTAACTTTGTCTTACATAACCTTTAGCGGCCTCAAGACGACATTAGAATGGTACGTTGTAAATAGTTGGAATTAGACCAAATGGCGGTGCACTTAGATACCAAGTTTGCCGAATAACAGCCTGCCACCAACTATTTCGAAGTGTCATCAGAATGAGGTATGTCATATCTATATATACATTAAAATACTATGGATAATGCTTCATGGAGAGAGGTTGTTCTGACAATATTAAATGGTATTATATTTAGTTTAGGTACAGTGAATCTTTTAACGAGGCTATAATTTATGGACGAACCAATCAAGTATAAGATAACAGGTCGCGGATTTTGGCTCGAAGCTCATTCATCCACTTGGTCAAATATAATTTTGGCGCTATAGCTGACGAAAACTCTAAATCTCATTACTGACCCTAACCATCAACTGTAAATGATGATTCTAATTCATCGCACGGGTTTATAACCTTCATTGCTTACCAATTGTTTGGTGGATACTCAAGGTCACTTCAGCGTCACTCAAAGGTCAACCATAAATCATAGTCTCACCAATGTTCTCTATAGCAGGGCGACGAAAAGTAAATGGACTGGAAGAAGAACAAGTCCTAATCAAACTGGACTTGAATAATGACGTATGAGACTATTTTGTAAATAACCTCTCCCTCTAGTCACAGGACCGCGTTATTCGATTTTTGAGGAATGTATGCATGCATATTTCAAAAACATTGCACGCAATGTTGCTTGCACGTTGTGTTTTTCTTCCGCTCAGATTCAGTGGTCCTGATTTGTATGCTATTGTTTTATATCTCTTATGCTTCCAAACAAACGCCGATATCATGTGTTTTATAGCTTTGCCTCAACATGTCTACCAATTAATCCTTTAGTTACACATCCCAAATTTGTCTGCTACCTGAGAAAAATGTGGTCATTTCTGCAGAATTCATATAATTCTTTGGTTAAAACCGACCCCACTTCCTCAGCGTCTTCCAAAATATCATTTCTCAATGACTCGTTCAGGAATTACTTTTCATTCTTCAAAGTGTAAAGAATTTCATCTGAGACATGTCTCAAACCTCATATACAATTTAGGGGATTACCCCCCAGATGTGCTCCAAGTCGAGAAGCTGGGAATCTTGATTTTTTATTATATGATTGTTCAGCTATGACGAAAGTGCTATTAGAACTTGCATTTAGTTTCTAACACTTTTGTCCAATGTTATTTAAAGTACGGATTTTCAGAGTACCCTGAAACATTTATTTATTTGAACACAAGTATCGGTACCAAGGGTCACCGAATACATATGCGCCACACAAGTCACTTGATTTTGTGGCATCCTAAACAAACTTGAGTACCCTCTTGATTACCTGAGGTTAATTTCCAACAAAAACCTTAGAGGCAATACCCTGGAATTAAAAGTACAACATATGAAACTGGACTGTAGGCACACCCACTTGTGAGTAATCATGTCCTGGAATTAGCTTCCAGCTGAGATGGTCTCAACAACTTCTCAAGTCTTTTAAGAAAAAAAGTTGATGTATACCTATAGACTCAGAACAACATTTCATTATAATTTACTAATGTATCTGTCTTGTTCGTTAAATAGATTTAGTAGATTCCTGAAGGTATTGGTAATACACTGCTACTAGATACTGAAGTCTGTTAAGTAAAATCCAACCTTCCCATAACCATTTGGATTCAATGACCAAGGGTACTATCTAAATATTTAAGAATAGTAACCCCACTGCGTCAATAGCCCGTTTCGTCAGTATGAGAGCTCATCAACATCTTCCCCTGCGTCTTCGTCTACTATAAGGTTCATTTTTAAAAGTCGTCCATCTATTGCCTCTGTAACCTGTCGCGGTAGCGTATTATTATGGTCTCAACTCTTCGCGGCTCATCGTTTTTGGTTGTAAGGTGTTGTTATACAATCAAAAACTAAAAACGACCCTTCAAGAATGAGTAGTGATCCGGTCATGGTGTTTAAAAATATTGGTCCCTAATGTTATTTTAAGTGAATCTCCACTCAGTCTTTTTCCGCGAAACTATTGCTCAATTTTGTTAAATTAAGGTACCGTTTTCTTCTACAAACAACCATATTTAGTGGTGACACTATTAAGCAATCAGCGTCAATCAATAGTTTTTGTTTGTGTGTACAAACTAGATAATATATGAATTAGCTTAAACTGTACTGGAGGCGAGTTGGTGGGTATATAACTGGAGTTGCATCAACTCATTATCACATTTCCCACGTACTTGAGGTGCTTAAGGTACTATCTGAAGGTCATGTTATCTGTATAGTCTCTATTCTCAGAAAGAAATTACTCGTGGTAGATTTTTTTTTATAAAGCAGGACCTGTTTGTACTTTATTCTGCAAATATTTGTTCTGATCTTCATTAGTTTTTATCATCTAAATCCTAATAACCCACATGAATTTTGTTTTCCAGATTCTACTTAGTCAGTTAGAAACTACCTAATGCAATCAAGCTGATTTACATACTGTTACTTCTCACGAATATCCTAATGCACAATGCCTTTTGCATCATTCAAAAATGTTCAAAAACGACTCTCCAAAATCCATAAAGAACGTTCCCAAGTATGCCGTTTTTGCTTTTTCGAAATATTTCTTTTTCTTTAGCCTCAACGTAGACATCATCTTGGAATACTACCGAAAAAACAGGATTTCCGCTTAAGAGCCAAGTGAGGTTGAATTACATATTTCACTTTGATGTTCCAGGGATAAGGAATCAAAAAGTGCTAAAATAAAAGAGTTAAGAAGTAAAGCTTTAGATAAAAACACAGATGAATTTTACTTCAATATGTGTAATTCTCGTTTTGATGTGAGTTGTTATCTACATGAAGCCTAATTTTATTGTTTTTTATTTAGATGGAAAAAGGGCATATTCCGTTAGATGTAGAAAAAAGTTATTTAGACTCTGATATTAAGTCATCATTTTATAAAAACGTTACGCACCTACAATATGAATTACAAAAAGAAAAGTCTAAGATACATCAACTTGAGTCGAAGACTCATTTACTCCAAAGTGAATCACAAAATCCCTGTTCGAGGAAGACTCCCAAACATATTGTATTTGCGGAAACCTATGGTGAAATGGTTGAACTACACCACAAATATGCGGAGAAAGTACAAGTGGATGAAACTATTTCTGGTGAAGTGTCTTCCAGTGACCCCTCTGTTGAAGACATTTGTGCTCAGCGTTTTAATGCTTACAAGGAATTATCTGAACATCTAGAAAGAGCCAAACAGTTGAAATATCTTTTACGTCAGCACGAAGCTAAGAAAAGTCTTATGGTATGTTGCTATTCAAGACATATTCATTAGTTGATATTTGAACCAGTACTTATTGCATTCCTTAGTTTCTACTGTATAGATGACCTCAGTTGTTCGACATCCGTAGGTTAACTGGGCGATGTTTGAAATGATCTAATAACTGTTAGACTAAAGATTTAAGATTAGTTAAAATTATTTAAGATTAAACAAATAAATTTCTAACTTTGAAATAATTTTAAAATAAACTAATGCACAGATCTTCGTAGTGGGGCCAGCACGCGTGCATATAGTTAAGTTTGGATTCAACTTTGTATAATATATGAAGGACTAATAAGATGCATACAAGGTAACACAATCGCCATCACTAAAAGAAATCAGCTGATAATTACTTACGATTTCGTCAACAACGCCTATAGTGACGTAAAATTTAAACTAGGAACGGATTTAGACAATAAATAACCATTCTTAAATCTGCCGACCACCAAAATCAGTGCTAAAAAACTCGAGTAAATTGTAAACGAACTCACATTCATCAAATTGTGAATTACGTCAACAAAAACTTAAGGACTTATAAATTAATCTGTGTACAAACTGTTCAAAAGGCAAAAATGTACTGAAACACTTTGCAGAAAGATGATATGAAATACCCAATCGGTGCATGTCAGAAGTATAGCCACCTACAAGATTTAATCAAGAAATCTGGCTCCTGGAGTTCTAGTGAGAAGCATTGACTAGTGGAGTTCAACCGGGTCAGTTGTGAGACAGTAACTCACTAATGACAATGGTGGACAGTGGCGCGATTGCGTCGAATAATTGAAGTTAGACATTAACACCGTTGGATGCCGGTTCAGTAGTTAAGTGCTCGCGTGCGAGACCAGTAAGTTCTGGGTTCGAACCGTGGATGCTCACTTCCGACGAGTCCAACAATAAGACGAAACGGCCATCCAGTGTTTCCAGGTTTTCCATGGTGGTCTAGCCTCAATCGACTCATGATCTCAACAACTGAAATTACTAAAATCTCCACAAAACCCCCTTCTTATATAAATATCTAGACATTTCCGCTTGTTTTCTTTAATTCCGTTTGAAGCCCTTAAGAAATACCACCGGTCCTAACATCAAATAAAGGAAGTGGGTTGGGTGTAGTGTTGAATGCATCGTAGCAATGAATCTTATCAAAAAAGAGTAAACCAATTCAACCGCTGAAACTTTACCCTGGTAATTGAAGTGTCTTTATACAGAAGTTATGGTGGAAGGCGTAATTTTTCGAAAGACAAATCCCCCTTCTGACAATCAGAATATGGAATAACTGGACAATATGGAATCTCGGAAAAGTCATTTCAGTAGTGTTGAAAATGCGAATATACAGCCCGATCGTGTTTGGAATAAGTGAAACAAACTAGAAACAACTTAGACAAAAGGACTAACTTCTGGATGATATTGTTGCATTGTGCTCATGGCGAAGAAAATGACTCTAAAACAAACACGATGTTATTTAAAGAAGAACAAAGCGCGCTTATTTATTTGAAAACTCAGCTCCAGGACCATCAAAGCATCCTTCAAAACAAAGAAAACAAGGATAACATTAAATGCGATGCAGTGTTGTGCACTTACTGATAATGGGATCCAAGGTGAGAAAGATTAGCTATATGATCACTAGTCCATCCTAGAGAGGGCAGCAGTGCGACCAGACAACTCAGTAATGACAAAGTAACATACCGAGTGAAGCACTGAATCTAATAAGAGGTGGTTACAAACATGCTGTACGTTCGCTTTGAAAAGATTTGGGAGGGACAATTAATACTAACAAACTGGAGTCAGGGATAACTCATCAAAATACTGAAGAAAAGGAGTTTTAGTAAGTGTGAGAACTACAGGTTGGATTTCGTTGTTTATCAACCGAATTGAGACTGCGAATAACTGTCGAACAACCAATTAAACGGAAATCATCGCTATACACCAACTGGTTATGAGAAGACGTTCGACAGCATGTATAGGTGAACCGTTTGGAATCATCTCATTTTGTAAGCTATTTTTGGAGAGTATTAGTGCAACTCTTTGTGTATGCGAGGTATTTTCTTCTTCGTGACCGTAAGACAACGCGGTCTCCCTTGAACCTAGTCTTTTCTGTTGGGCTTATGTCCAACGGGTTTCATTTATTCGAAGCATTGCCAGGTTGTATCTTCTCATCTCCACAGCCTTCCACATTGTGTGACACTCCGTGTGCTTATACATTATTCTGATTGCTAGAAACAGGGTCGGCCTCATGTTTTCCGAAATCCCGGCTATGAGGGTTCATAACTCATTTACACAAAAATTCTTCAATTGTCAGGACAGTGTTTTAATGTTTTAAGTAATTTGTCTGGTTGGCGTATCTTATCAAGGTTCTTCACTACGGGATAAATTTGCTTAGTCTATGATCAACCCTTGTTTATTCAGGTTTGGGACTAGTAGTTATCCTAGAAGGGTACATTCCGGAGTTATACCGTCCTTTAATAGGTAGATAAACATAATTCATGCAATAACGGGTATAATAATATGAAGGCAAAAGTATTCCTCAAGATAATACAATTAAGAAAAAAAACACTAAAAATGAACTGAAAAAAAATCGATAGATTGCTTTTCACATTATCATCAGTACCACTAACGTTACTGATTCCTGTTCTGTTATATTACAAACATCAACGACCGATACTATGTCTCCACTCAACTAGCGGAACAATATCTTATTTGTCTAGTCATCTTTTGATTTTACTTCACTTCGGAATAAACTGTCAAGGTAAGCTTATGTTTCAGTGTACCTAAATCCATATGCGAAAAACCGATATGGTGGATCAAGCCGAATTCAAAGTTTTTTTTACCTATCTATAAAAGTAAATATTTCTTTGATCTTACCTTACCATCTGAAGTGTAATTTATTTTCCACTAGGCAAATTTAACCAAAAGAGCGTACAAAACCGTATTCAAAGGAAGTAAGACGGCGCCTCCGGTTTATGAATTTGAACCTGTCCGGGATCGATGAACATTCGAATTTTGTTTAGAGTCATCTAATTTGTACATTTCATTGTCCTTGATGTATGTCCAGGAACATCTAAAGAGTTTCACCATTTGACTTAGTGTTTTCTAGTTAATCAGCAGTAGTCTGCTCACCTGGTATCTTGTTCGTGTTTAGTTCCGTAACTGAGGACACTAGTATTACCTGATTCCACAAACTGTCGTAACGAAGGGGATTCTATACGAATGGTGTAAGTTTTATGGTCGTTTTGAATTAAATGTGGTCAAAGATTCGCTACTCACAACAACTGAGTTACGCATACGATGCCTTAATGAAATTTTCAGATTTTATTGCTGATAAATACTGGTAAAACTGGGCACCAAAATAATTATGGGCCACAAAAATGAAAAAAATTGTTAATAGATAGAAAAGTCGAGGGAACTAAAATCAAATATAGATGTATAAGTAAAATTAAGAGAAAGAGAATATTATGTAACAAAAGTTACAGTTCTGTTACGAATGGAACGAGAAAGAATTCTCACTTAAGTATGTCCCTTCCGCTTCTATGTGCATGTATAAAAAACACCCACACCAGGACTGCCACTGTCTCTTATTCTGATCCATTTCTGATAATATCTCAAGCCATCAAGTTGCACCAGGAAGTCTCTATGAACCTGTAGGTGCTATTCCTGTATATCTTTTCACACTACTGCTTTAAGTCATAATCCAACCATCTCTCTGCTTTTCCCATCGAATGTCGGCAAACAATATTCGATATCGAAGTTAATAATATATTTCCAAGTCACAAGGCGGTGTCTTCACTGTAATTAAACGTATATCCGGATACTACAGATTACTGGTGTTGTCACTGGATGTCATAAACCCCTCGAACACAACGATGATAGCGTTGCTGAAAATCCTCGACTCAGAGAGGCCAGATTTCACAAAAATGTAGCAGACCTGCTCTGATCAGCATTTTGCAACCGGACTAAGATCACGACGGTGATAAAGATGACTCAGATTAACAAAAGGCTGGACCCACCTGTCGCGCCATTACAGTCTCTCATAAAAGTAAGCAGGTGCATTGATTTTCCGACCACTCTAAACAGCTCACTACTGAGAGTTAGTATAAACATGCTTCTACCAGTCTTAAAAAAGTAATTTAGAAGGCGCAAAATACATGCCATAATTATGGACACTAATTAGATTGGATCTAAATGAGCTGTGTACATAGCGTTCAATTTGTTAATAAAATCCTTGCACACACCTGTACTGTGAATCGAAAGCGACTATAATATCAAGAAACAGCGACCGCTGGTTTGCAATCATCGTGTAGTTGCTCTAATATTGGGCAAAATATAATGCGATAAACGTATCCACAAGCTTATTGAAAACCACCCTGCTTCCCACAGATTTTAGAAAATTGTGCAATGTAAGATAATGTAATAGATTTACCCCCTGATACTTGTATAATTTATGTAGGTCCTTTATGAACATGTGGGCAGAGGTCCCTTCACTTTAGGATGTTGGAAAAATCTCTGTTCTATGAGCATTTGTAATCACCTTTGTCGGCTCCCTGATCAAACGTTTGTCTCATTCGTGTATCAAAAGACAACTTAACTAGACTATAGAAACGAGTCCTTTTGTACCATAATGGGAGACAACTGCGTAAAAATGTTTAATATTAAAATGACTGAGACACAATATCTGTATGACCAATGAAATGGGTTTTTCTAGGTCAGTAAACAACCTGCCAAACTAAGCGCTGATTGTCGGGATTGCTTATTACTGGTTGTCTTAATCCAAACCATTATAACGAACCTAGTCGTCCAGTATGGAGTGATTTAACAAGCGACTGATGTTGTATTGGAAAATCAACACTCGCCCAGGTGACCCATCATACGAATGTTCCTATGAATATAAATTTGATATCCAGAGTTACGTCATTACAAAAATAACGCTTAATGTTCACCGCTATTAAAAGGTTTCTATATATACTGGATGTGAGAAATAAATTTTTATGGGAGGTTTTTTGGTTGTGTTGGGTCTTAGAGTATAGTTCCACAGTCCAGGATCTTGATGCGGCTTAAATCACAAGGTTTTTCTCAAAGGTTCTCAGTATGTCAATTAGAAAGCAACACGACCTAAGTCAGTAGCTGACTGCGCTAAAAGGAGTATGCACTTTACTTATAGCATCAGCCACAACCATTATTATTTACAGCTTAATTAGGCAGTCAGTGAAAGCGTCCTACCAATTCGTTTGCTTTTGGGTGGTTGGCGGTCTTTCGGAATCATATGGTTTCTGGTAATGTGGTTAGGCGACGGGAAAGTCGAAATTCAAACTAGCGTCCACGGTATGTAATGATAATTTAAGGGTAACCGAAGTTTTGCTACCCACCGTTCGACGAAGGTGTGGGCCACTGCTTCAACAGTAATGTCATTGATGAGTACTGCTTATGGCCATCAAGTGAAATGGTCTACACAAGTTAAGAGATAAGATAATGCATTTGAGTCTGGTAAGTGTCCTAACAGATTCAGATGAACGTGATCGGAACGAGCATCAGTAGTTTTGAATGAGTCGAAGGCACATTTATTTATGTGTTTGATCACCTTAGATTTCTGGCAGCTTACACAAGCGTGTGTAGAAACTTTGAGATGCTCATTAAATAACCAGGCTTGTCCGTGATATTTGTTGAAAATCGTTGAGAAGCATTACGATAAAACGAGACATTTTGGATAATTTCACCGGAATCGCAGAAAATTCTTGGGAGAAATCTCCAAATTTTTGGAGGAATATTGTAGGAAAACGAAGTTTTGGGGAAAACGCCTGAGCTGCCAACTTTGGGGAAATGTGACGCAAACCCCGAAATTCCCCCAGACCTGGGAAAATCCCAAAAACTTGAGGTTTTCATGCAAAACTGTTTTAACGCAAAAGCCCTAGACATCACGGAAGACCTAGGGAGAATGCTTGCGTACATTTCTTAATGGGATGTTTCATTACTTTTCGTTAACCGCGCATTGTCAAATAAACTTGGTGTTAACCGATTTATCGCTATTTTTAAAAGACTGATTTATGACGTGTATAGATGTTTATTACAGTTAATAAATTTACAAATAACCTTACAATCTCACGTGAGAGTGCGGGGTTCGATCACTACCCAAGCTGCCAACTTTGGGGAAAATTTGGTCCATTTTGGGGAAACGAGACGAAAACCCCAAAATTTCCCCAAACTTTGGGGAAGGCTATTTCACTTTTGGGGATATCCCCAATTGGGGAAAGTTGGCAGCTTGAGTAAATATAGACGGATTTTTCCAAAACGTAATAAGACTCTGGTGAAAATTTTTGAAAATATTGGACAAAAACCCAGATTGGAGAATTTCTCGAGATCTGTGGAAATGGCACAAAAACCCCAAAAATTTGCAACTAATTAAAGACGTTGCGTCGATAATGTTTCGGCACGATTGGGTGATCCTCGACTGTAGATGTGTCGCACAGTAAAGTTCCTTTACCTGTTTCTATTGTTTAATACACACTTCTAGAGTTGTCGAAGATAACTTGTGCTGAAGACCAATGTCTTCTTTTGAAGCTATGCGAGTGTGAGAAGGTCGATACCTTGGAAACTGTTCACGGAAGTAATACTAAACAAAAACACCTGTAACTGTACTGCTTGGCCACACATGTGTATTGTGTATCCAAACTAAACTGCGAAATATATAAAGAGACCGAACACAATGGTGATAGTGGTTTTAAGAATGTCATCAACAGCCATGGAAATCTGATTACATGTTTTAGCCAAGTCGATTTGCGAAGAAAACGGCTGTAAATTTCATGGTAGCTGTCAAATCGCGAATATGAGGCGACAGGTTACGATTACGAATGGTTTTCTCATTCAATCGCTGATAGTCACCAAATAGACGCCAGTCGTTTCTGTAGTATTTAGAGACCACGTGCAAGGGAGATGCCAATGGGTTGTTTGATGACAGAATGATTCGTAAAGCTGTCATGTGATCGAACTCGCTATTAGCTATTCGGGAGCTGGTTGACGCGCCTTCGAGAATGCGGGTGGCTCTGTAGTTATGATGTGATGTATAACGTTTCTAGTTACACATGGCATTTTCGGTTGCGCTTGGTATAGCTGAGGGTACTTATCGAGTACTTGTTGGATGTGCGGATCGATCGTTTGCTTTACTATGACTGGGGATAATCTAAAACCGGAAAAAGAAATTACACAGACAAATACATCAGTGTTTCCGTCTACTAGCCTCCGTTTGCGTGAGTTGGTATGCAAATTGTGCTGTAGGTTTATACCAAAGGTTGGCAGAGAAACATCTGCGGCTACGAAGATCCAGTGAGTAGGTTTGCGTAAACCTATGTTGAGGCACAAATATCGCTTAACATATTTGGTAATCGGTTGCCTATTTATCGACTGTAAGTTGAAAACTTCTTCGTTCAGTCGGTCGCTGGAATTCGCAGGAAATACGCCAAATTCTGCACCAGTGTCGACGAGGTAGAGAACTTTCATCATCACATCAGTGATGCATAATAGACGCCCATGTTCTCTGACTACGGTTGTCGTTGGCGCATGCCTTTTGAGAAGTTTTCGTGAATATCTCCCTCAGAGAATTTGGGGGCATTTAAGGTCGTGACGAATAGTAATGCAGCGTGTCAGAGTATTACAGAGATCTGTAGCGTCGTTTCGTGTCAATTTAGGTTTTTCTTTGACTGAATGGATCTCGATACTGGGAGTTCTGGATATCTCCAGAATTCGATTGACAGACGGAGACTACAACTACCTGCACCTGTCGGTGAAGCTAAGACAGGAAAAGCCATCAAAGCGAACCCAGTGACTAATGATTCCCCGTATTCGTAGCCATATATGTGTTGCTGAGTTATGTTGTACATCAATGTTGTTGAAGAGTTGATCTTACTTTAGTTAACTGGTTAGATCTACGAGTCTAAGTATAGCCTTTTTAGAAAGCGTGACGTTTGAAAACTTCGCCACTAAGCATAATAGATGTTTTGTAGA